ACAGGTCTAAGCCATTAACTGCAGCACCAGCAGCATTTGGAGAGTGGGCATACTGTTGAGTAAAGGCCAGTAGTGTTGATTTACTCCCAAATGGTTGGCTCAGTGTCCTGACAGGAAACCATGATGGCCAAAAAGTGGACATTCTTTCAGTATAAAGAAAAAGCTTGGATTTTAGAATCAGTCTTGGGTTCAGAATTTGGCATAGCCGTTAATTATCTGAAAGGTTTGGGGGCAGTTTACTCAATCTATCTGAACCTGGTTCTTCATCAATATAATGAGAAAGATAAAAGCCATGTCACAGAGTTTTTTTGAGGATTAGTTATGAAAATTTACATAAAGTTCTGGTACACTACATGCTTAAAGAGGAAAAGTTTAACGAAACTTTCCCGTTAATCATTTAAATTACTTCTCTTTATTGTGGTTCCTCTTTCTAAAGGAAGCAACCATTTACTGGATTTATTTGTTTTCTTTTCTCTCTAAGAAGCTGAAATTTAATTGTGCTTTCCTCAATATTCCAAAGAATTTTCCTCAGTTATATTTGTTGATTCTTCCCATTTATATTTGAGAGAGAAGCATTTTGGCTATTGGTGGTATGGAGCCATCATTCCAGCTCAGCTGAGTAGTGAAGATCACTTTAGGAGAATTTCAAGAGCTTACTCTTTTGTTGCACAGCTATCTTTCTCTCTTCCAGGAACAGATATCCATAGTTGGTGGGCAAAATATAGAATCCAGGTTAGTAATTTCATCTGTGCCACTTAAGGAGACTAAATTTAGGAAATGATGTGGATGAATAGCCAGGCAGTCCCAGGTGGTTAAGGAAAACTTAGTCTTGGGGTTAATTCATAAAGAATAACAAATGTCTTTCCATCCACTTGTCTTTTAGTGCTTAGAGACATAATGCTGGGCTTCACCCAGAACCAGCATCATTCAGATACTCTGAAAGGCATAATAAATCTTCCTTTCTTCTTAATTCATCCTCCTCAACCATTTAACTTTCAGTGCATGCTTTTTCTGGGCTGCAAACACATTCTGGAATAGTTTCCACACTAGAATAGTTTCATAGAGTGAATCATTTGGTGTTTTATGTACATCAGAAAACCCAGGAATTAGGAAAAAGTTCCCACTGAAGTATTGTAAGAATAATTATTGTTTGGACTGGATTCTTGAGTATTTTCACACTTAGAGACTTGTATTACTCTGTTCTGGCTAGACTGTGGGCTACCTAGAAAGAAGTTTAATTTTCTAGATTTAAAAAAAAAACGCTCTTCTATGGACAGTCCATACTCCTGATTAAAGAAACCACTTCCTGGACAGGCACTGCTTCTCAGACAATTTATTTTCTCTCATGCTCTGACTTCCACTTCCTGTAGAGCTCAACACATACACCGTGCATCATGAGCTGCAGCCCCTGTGCCTTTTGCTCTTGTTTACTCAGAGAGGAATCATGTGTACATCCAGAAAGGAAGTCATCACATGCACCATCTGAACAGCAAGGAAGTCTTGAGGTTACAACAGCAAATATACACAGAAACCCAGAGGGCTCTTGCATCAAGCCCTAGACTCTTCTCCCCTAAGAAGGGGGCCTCATCAGCTTGCCTCTGTCAGAGCTGTGCTCAGCTGCTGGTCTTCTAGTCACGTGCCCTGCCACTCTCCTTTAGTGACACATAGCTGGGACTTTGCCAAGGCTGAGATCCTTGGCTTAGGCACATTTCAACTGTTACTTAGAGAACTTTTCTTCATCTTGATTCAAGGTGTCTGAGAAGGCTGAACCCCAGTGAGGCATCTCAGAGACTCTGTGCCGTGGCCCCCAAGTTGCAGAGCATTTTCCCAGCACTGTACCTCTTTGGAGTCTTGACCCTACTGCTTGTGCCCTTCTGGCCTGTGTGGTCAGTACAGTGGTTATGCAAAAAAGGGGGTAGTTTCTCCAAGATATGGAAAAAAATACCCAATTAAGAATTAATCAAATATAGTCAAATGGTGGCAACCCATAACTTTTTTAAGAGAGTACGATGAACTATCTTATTAATAAAAAGAATCTTAAAATAGAAAAGAAATTGTTCTAGGTAGAGGCTGTTATTATGTCTAGAACAACAATGTGTTGCTATGCAAAAATCCTTGTGAGGCTGCTTTAACAAGGAATAATCTTTAATTTTCAAATCAATTTCTTATATTCAAATGCTCCAGAATGTTTAAAACATGTTTATTTTCCACAGGGGTTAATTACGCTGTCTACAGTCTTAGTTACTGATTGATTAGAAAGAAAAATTTCCATCCATAAAGCAAAAATATTGTCTGTTATGGCAAATACTGAGTAAATTTTCTAGAGTAAAATGTAGGGCACTTTGAAAACTGTAAACCATTAAATAAATGTAAGGCATTGTTATGTAGGGAACAAACATTGAAATGTAGGGAAATTTTTAGAAATGAATGAGAAACGCAAGGGTTTGAGAGAACGTCCCAGAACTGGTTGAAGATCTGTCACCATGGAAATTAATTTGTTGTTATAGTATTTAAATGGAAACATCCTTTAAACCAAGTGATATTTTTCTCTTTTATTAGCTCACATTATTTTTTATCTGGGAGAATTAATTTTCATAATAAAGATATCTCTAAACATATTCCCTGAAACAGCTATCAAGGCATGAAAATGGAGGAATTGCGTTAGCTTAGAGGGGAAATACCGACCTTAAAATAATAGCTGAAAAATACTCTTTTGTGAGCTGGCAGACTGATTTAAGAGTGTGAAAGCCATGCTTTCTTCATCACTGAGAGTGGTGAAGGGGAAAGCATGGGTATATTAAGGAAGCATCTATATTTGGAAGATGATTTTTCACATCAGATGCATGAAAATTATTGAGGGACAGTATTAATCTAGGTTATAGAGTCAGTACAGGATACAGAACTTTATGCTCAGGGGATTTTCAGTCCTCCAACTTCACCTCTGAGTTCCCCTCTCTTAGAGTCTGAGTTAGTAGAAGAAGGCCTTATCAAATTTGTCACAAGTTTTTCAATTATTTCTTCATGTTTCTATTTCCCTTTCCCTTTCTCTTCTGTTCCTTCAAATCTTCCCATTACCTATGGCCCCAGCCCTCAAAAATGGTGCTTAATGTCTGTCAACTCTGGCCTGATTCTGCCTCCCCTTTCTCTGACAGTAACAATCTGTGATGCCAGACACTTTGTTCATTGCCTCAGTATGGATCTGCCTCTCCTATCTCATCAACTACTCAGCTTCTACTCATCCTTCAAGACGTATCTCCAACTTATTCCGAGATGCCTTCCCTCAATACTCCAATCCTCGGTTCTGTCAACACCTTCTCCTACAGAACTCATTTCCAGTCCTAATCTGGCACTAAAGTGACTGGTGTGGTATAAGTATTTATATGGCCATATCTAGTCTTTTTAAGTACATTGCAAATATGCCCTCTTAATATTGCTGAAAAGCCTAGCACAGAACTCCATATATGTGTTTAATCATAAAAATTAAAAGCTATTTTTTATATATCTATGGAGGTACTTAATCTGAGGTTTAAGAAAGGCCGTATGGAAGACTTATCCATGGTGACTTGTACACAGGTGTATTTCTTTTCCTCACTACTAAAGCAGAATTTACTTTGGACTTACTGTTTCTACACTTTCTGAACCCCTCCACAGTTGAAGCTTTGGGAGGAGCAGAGTTAAGAGAAACAGTGCTTGACCTGAGCTGATTCTTGTCCTCATGGGTGTTTAAAGCTTGCGTTCTCTTTTGTGAGGTTTTTTTTTTTTTTTTTTTTGATGGATCCTTCATCACTGAGGATCTGCTAACTTCTGTTCCTGGAGTCTGGTTGATCGCAGGATCCATCTCCAATTCTGGCTGATCACTTACTCTTTCCTACCTTCTATATACCTGGTGACTCCTAGAGTTGTTTTTTTTTCCCTAAAGCCTTTGTCTCTCCTCAGGTGGTCCTTTTGGACAGGCCTGAAGACAACTCCACCATAGCTGTCTTTCTCATGTGGCCCATATCTAATCTGCTGGAAGTACTCACTCATCCTTTGTTCTGAATAATGTCAGTAGTACAGGCCAATCTCAAGGCAGCAGAAATCTGTCCTCCACTCTCACCATCAGAGCCACTAGACAGCGCATCTTTTGCATTTTAGATTTCCCAGGCAGGAGCTCAAAACTGGTCCACTGTGTCTAATGTCTCTCCAAACCGAAAGGAAACATATTAGGTTTTCTCAGTGGGCTCCTTAGATCCCCTCTCTCAACGTGAAGGAGAAATGCACCCACACATGTGCCTCGCCTGGGACTGGGGGTGGTGTTCACAGGATATCAAAAGCTTTATAAAAAAGTACTTCTCCAAATATTTTTCTTAAAAAATTTCTAATACTTAACCTTTTAATGTCCTTAATTTGGGTGAGGGTGTTAAGAGTTTTCTCTTTCATCAATTCTCTTTCATCAGTTTCTCTTTCATCAATTATGGGGTGTTACTTGATTTTGCAAGTAACAAGAAGAGTATTGTTCCTCAGCCAAAACTTCGATTTTATGGCTTTTAAACATCCATTGATTATCATATAAAGTAAGCATCCAATGATGGCTACAGAGAGCAGAAAATAGCAGTATTCCAGATAGTAGCAGTGGACTTTGAACTGATACAAACCTAAATTTAATCCCTAAATTTGATTCACGTTACTGGCATTTACTAGCTGTGACCTTATGTGGAATGTTTGACCCCTCTTAGGTTGTGTTTCCTCTTCTCTAGGATGAGTATGATGATCATACTGCCTCAGAGAGTTAATGTGAGGATTAAATGGTATAACATATGTAAAATGATTAGTACAGGGTCTAGCAAGTAGTTAAGAACTCAGTAAATCATTCCTAGTGATTTTGTGAGGAAATGAAATATACCTCAGCAGTACAATTTAGTGATTTAGTTCTATAAAATGGGAAGAGTCCCACACGCTGAAGTGTTAATTAAATTAAACTCTAGTTCATTCCACTGTTCTCTTTCACCATTCAAGATTGCAGAATGTCTCCTAATGTTGCCCACGGATCCCATGAAGACGTGAGTTCACTTTTATCCTTTACTACTGTGCTGCAGTATGAATGTGACGAAGGATATGTTCTGGTTGGAGAAGCTAAAATCACCTGCAGAAATTCACGCTGGTCATCTCCAGCCCTCGGTGTAAAGGTAACTCCAACTTTACTGGTGGCCCAGGCTAAGAAAGTAGAACCTCCATGAAAGTTCTGACAGTTAGGTCTCCTCTCAGCCAGAGGCACCACTTAGAAATGTATTGTATTTATTTATTCATTTCATGTAGTCAATACAAGCATATAGTACAATGTTTTACAAGTCTGAACCATCACCCAGTTTATCACTCTTGAAGTAACCACTGTTACCAATGTGTATGTTTTCAAAGATAATCTAGAGGGCCACTTTTTGCTTTGTTTTAATAAAAGTTTTAATTTAAATATAACATACTACAGAACTGTGTACAAATTTTAGGCGTACAGGTCAATAATTATCACAAAGTAAACCCACCCATGAAATTATCACTGAGGTCGAGAAGCATTACCATTGCCAGCACGCCAGAAGTGTTTCACATGTCCTCTGCCTGTTACTCCTGACTCACCTCCCCAAAGACAGTCACCATTCTAACACTGTGGATTAGTTTTACCAACTTTTTAACTTTGTATAAAGGAAATCATGCATGTACTCTTTTGTGTCTGAATTCTTTCCTCAACATTATGTTTTAGAAAATTGTCTATGTTGTTACATTTAGTGATAGTTTATCCATTTTCATTACTTTATAATATTCCTTTGGATGAGTATACCATATTCTATGTATCTTACAGAAGTATGAGTTTTCCATGTTTTAGGCTGTTATGAATAATGCTCTTATGGGAAAAGAAGTCAAGATGGTGGCGTAAGCAGACTCTGAACTCACCTCCTCCCGCAGACCAGCCAATTTACAACTACTTGTGGAAAAATTATCCCTGAGACAGAACTGAAAACTGGATAAGAGGAACTCCTGCAACAAAGGACAATCCTAATTGAGGTGGAAGAGGCAGAAACTCCCTTCTGGAGAGAAAAAATGCCGCCCTCACAAGCCGCTGGCTTCATGGCCACCCGGGAGCAGCCCAAAGGTACGCAACCCTCCCTGGAGGAGCGGGACCCTGAGCCAGAAGCGCCCCCGCTGTAGGCATTTTGTGGACCCAGCACAATCGAGACCAGTGGCATAATATCAGACTTTGCCTGCTACTAAAACATTGGGGAGTACCCCCAGAAAACCTGGTTCACAAAGAAATTAAAACCAGCTGTTAAAGGGCTCGTGCACAAACTCACCTGTTTCAGAAAGCATCCTAGAATCACCAGAAAGAAAGGTGCATAGTGCTTTGGTGAAAAGAGACTCACCTGATAGGCCCTCAGTGCATCTCGGTGAGGGGTGAGACCTCTCCAGGGACTGGGACATTGGCGGCGGCCATTGTTGTGGCCTGGTGTGGGCATGCTGACACAGAAGCCATTGGAGTACTCCCTGGGGCATGCTAGCCCAGGTATGCCCCAGCCACTGGAGCACCGATGTAATCCAGCTCAGCCAGGGCAGGCAGCCCACCATAGAGAACGGCCCCGCCCTAAACAAGCCCTCAGGAAACTTGTGGGCCTGCATAGATTGGTCATTGGATTCTCTGCAGCCTGGCAACTGAGCCGACTTCATTGGGGCAGGACGTGCACAAGGAGCGGGTGGAGAGTGTGCGGCGGTGGTGAACCGTGTGGGGCTCCAGCTGTGGAGAGACTGGGTTCACCTCGGGAGGTCGGGGCGCGCACACGGGGCAGGACTGTGTTGAGTGTGTGTGTGGACCTGTGGGCGGCAGGGCTTGTCAGCTGCAGAAGACTTGAGCTTCTCAAAGACACACGTAGGGGGTTTGCCACACCTTCCAAAGTCTGAAACAACTGGGTGCTCCTGTGCCTGAGGCCAGCCCCACCCAGCTGCAATCCTCAGAGAGCTGACAAGAGACCTAAAGGCTGGAGGCTTATAGCAATTGTAAGCC